GGTGATGCTGACTAGAGATTAAAACAAAGACTAGATTTTACTGTATCAACTTCAATGGGCACAAAATTGTTTAAGACAATAAAAATGACTGCATTTTCTTATGCATTTTAATTGCAGAGTAAGATATGAATCAGCACCAGTACCTATTTAAAAAAAAAGCAAAAAAAAGAGTAAGATGGAAAGTCTCTCTTCAGGCAGTTTCTTAATATGCTTGGTTGGCTTGTACAATAACTTACTATATTACTTATTTATAAACTATTCTCTTTTGCTTTGATTGTTTTCTTTTACATTATTTAAATATAAATTAATGGAAGCTGATTCCCATACATTCAGAATACCAAATGCACCCTGATTTCACCACTAATGTAGGCCCATACTTAATTCTAAACATTTGACTAGACATGTAATTAATTGAATTGGAGCCAATTATGACCAAATTATGAGTCCTCTGTAATTATTGCTTGAAATACTGCTGGATTTCTATTGAAGGCAAGAGAGAATATTTCTGATCTGTGCAAATACCTAAAGATTATTAAAACTGTTATCTTTGATTTGTTCTGTTAGTTTTATAAGACATATATTGGTGGGCTTTTCCTGCATTTATCAGTGCAGTATTTCCGCTGTCTGAACAACACTGAGGTGTAGGCAGCACAACTGCAGAAGGCAGCCTGATCATCAGCGAGTGATAAAGAGGAAACCGAAGGAAAGAAAGAAAAAGTCTCAGCTGTTGAACTGTAATATGAACTTGCTCTTTTTCCACAGGGTAGGAGGGCCCTACAGAGGTACCTGAACAGGCTGGATCAATGGGCTGAGATCAACAGTATGAGGTTCAACAAACCCAAGTGATGGCTCCTACACTTTGACCAAAGTAACCCCATGCAGTTCTACAGGCTGGGGTTAGAGTGGCTGGAAACTGGTCCAGAGGAAAAGGACCTGGGGATGCTGGTTGAAAGTCATCTGAACAGGAGCCAGCAGTGTGCCCAAGTGGCCAAGAATAGCAATATTGTGTCCAGCAGGACTAGGGAAGTGATTCTTCCCCTGTACTTCACAATGGTGAGGCTGCACATCGAGTACTGTGTTCAGTTCTGGGACCTCAATTTAGGAAGGACATTGAGGTGCTGAGAGAAGGTTCCAGAGAAGGGCAACAAAGCCAGTGAAGGGTCTGCAGCACAAGTCCTGTGAGGAGAGGCTGAGGGAGCTGGCGTTGTTTAGCCTGGAGAAGAGGAGGCTCAGGGGAGACCTCATCACTCTCTACAGCTACCTGAAAGGAGGTTGTAGCCAGGTGGGGGTTGGTCTCTTCTTCCAGCATAGTCTTATGTACCAGGGAAGGTTTAGGTTGGACATTAGGAAGAATTTCTTCTCAAGAAAGGGTGATTAGATACTGGAATGAGACACCCAGGGAGGTGGTGTATCATTCCTGAAGGTATTTAAGGGAAGACTGGACATGACACTTCACTGCCATGGTCTAGTTGACATGGTGGTGTTAGGTCATAGGTTGGACTTGATGATCTCAGAGGTCTTTTCCAACCTAATTGATTCTGTGATTGTGTGACTGATGGGCATTTTTTAATGGTCCAAGTTCAATGTTTTTAAGATCTATATTTATTTGAAATAACACTCTTGGGTGACGAAAATCTGTATGATTTCTGAGAAAATGTGTATGATTCCTTCTGTTTTATAAATGACATAGAAATGACACAGACTCCTAAGGCTTGTTATTGAACTAATAATTGAAAATACCTGGCAGATGGTATATAACAAATAAAAGGTACGTTACCATCACAAAGCAAAATTGTACACAGAAAATTCATATGTCAACAGCACTGATATATTGTTTTTCCTCTTCCAACTCAGTGGCATTGATCCTTATCTCAAATATCATCCTATGAGACTTGTGCTGGATCACAGCAGAGTAAAAATTAAGAAAGAGGTAGCAAGAGGCAGCAGCAATTTCTGCCAATATGTTAAGAGTTACCACTGTAATTTTAGATTGAAAATTTTTGGTGTGGGATTATTAATTTTAATGTCTACTTATTTCTATTCTATTCTCTTCAAACACTGAATGGAACCCTTTCTTTCTAATGAGTTGGACTTCCCAGTTTTCATTCACCAGCACAATGCTGCTGTACCCTGTGCATGCAGGTGGCAGTTCAAGTTCCAGAACAAAAGCCTAATCACACATATTCCAACTGTTCTCCACTGATATGAACCTATGTTTGAACCTCAGACTTCTGAACCGCCTGTTATTAAAGCTAACCCCAAGCCATCCCTTGGCGGGCACATACATGCTTCAGTGCAGGAACACTCTTCCCTACTTTACTGTATGCAAAGGATTTTGCCCAAAATCATACTGGCCTTTGTAACCACCAGACATTCTCAAGTTGAACACATACAGGATACGGTCTCTCCACAAAGTCAATGGGAATTTGCTCATCAACCTTCATGAGATCAGGAATTGACCCATAATATTTTATAAAACAACAAAAAGGAATGCATTTATGGTTTTATTATTATCCCTAATAAGGAAATAAGAAGAAAGAAAACACAGTACATGGTCTGTCTATATGCACATGTGTTACTTATATTAATATTGATGGGATTTAAAACTACATATGGAGAGGATAAGATATATCCCTACGTGTTCAGCCATATGCTTAAGGAAGCTCCCCAAATGCTTGTAAATATGATCATGCTTTCTAACATACTATGTATTTATTTGAACAACGTTAAATCTCTAAGCCCTACTTTCCAGCCCATTAAAGCCTCAAATAATTGTTTATTTCCAGTTTAAAGTTACTCTATTTTTTAGCCATTAGAAGGCTGCCTGTAACCACATTTTCAGAATACTCAGGGAATTAGAGAATTGATAATAATTCTCCCATTATCCGAACGGATACCTCTCCGGGATGAGAAATACTCAAGATGAACTATATTTTAGAGAGGAATTCTTTCCAGAAGATTTTGGGACAGGCCCAGAATGTGTAGCTGAAAGACCTGGAATGCTACTTGCACAAAAAACATGTGTTTGTGCCATAGACCTCAGACAACTACATTCCTTCTGGAGGCCCAAGGCCTTGAAAGCTAGTCATTCTTCTGAATAGACTTGTTCTCATTTCCTTTTTGATTTTAAAGTTTTGAATGATAGACCCGATAGGCTGAGGGAGCTGGGCCTGTTCAGCCTCAAGAAGAGACAGCTGACAGGGGATGTATGTCATCGCTGTGTATAAGTATCTGATGGGAGGGTGTCAAGAGGTTGGGCCCAGGCTCTTCTCTGTGGTGCCAAGCAATAAAACAAGATGCAAAGAGCAGAAACTGATGCACAGGAAGTTCCACCTGAATATAAGGAATAACTTCTTCACTGTGTGGGTGACCGTACACTGCAACAGATTGCCCAGAGAGGTTGTGGAGTCTTCCTCTCTGGAGATATTCAAGAACTCTCTAGACACAATTCTAGTCAATATGCTCTAGGATAATCCTGCCTGGGCAATAAGGTTGGACCAGATAATCCACTTCCAACCTTACCCACTCTGTGTTACTCTGAACACAGGACAAGGGTCTGACACAGAAGGCACAAGAGGGTTATTCTGCATCTCCCTTACAGAAGAAGACATCAGGATTCATCCCATGATTTATGACTTAGTATAAATTGTCTTGGAATGAGACAGCCAGAGTCTTTATGAAATATCCAATGCCTGTTAGCAAATTATATTCATTATGTTCATGCAACTAATCATTTTATTTGGCATCTTTTACTTCCTTTCAGTTGAGACTTGGTAACTGATTTTATGAACACTCTTGACTATAGTTTTATGTGTTAATAATACGATAGGGCTGGTATACTACTTCAACTAATGTTGTAGCCACAAATATAGAACAACAGTCATGGAGGCACAGTCATAACACTGATGGTGTCCTTAGCATCTCACACACAAATGCTGCACAGAACCAAAGCCAATTTCAGTTATAGCTGACTGCCAAAAGGAACCTTCTTCTCTTACTTTAATGTAACCCTTTTGATGCCAAGGTGATATGGCTGTTTACTTGTTTTAATGTCATCCAGAACACAAGCAAACATTGAGGTATTATGATTTTGTTTTCTTGTTGTTTCTTTTTGACCATAAACAAGATTTGAGAGTTCAGCTTTATCTTTAAAATCTCAATTTACAATAAAAATCAGACTTTTTCCTACTGTGATACTTATTTTGTAATATAGAAAAACAAAACAAACAGTCGTCATCTTTTTAAACTGCATCAATGAATAGTGAAGTCAAATCCGGTTTCCCAGCAAGGAATTATTAAAAGACAGAAATAGTCCAATGACCACAGGAAATCTTTAAGCACCAAAATGGGGACAAAAATCTCCTGGGGAAAAGACAATATTTCCTACATGCTCATTCATGTCCTCTTGTAATACAATGCAGGGGTATTGTTTGTTTGTCTGCTTAAGTAGATGGGTAGAATAAAATTAGAAACAAATCCTGACTACAAAAACATTTCAAACACTAAATTCAGGCTCATGCATTCCAAGACCTGCCATCACAACTATGTTGTGATGCTTCTTTCTAATGTATAAGCAGAAAGACCTTTGATCGTTAATATACACATCCTTCTTGCCTTATTAAATAAAGGTCACCAACCTCCAGCAGGATCTTTGACTTCAGGTCACATTGCATCTTGCTGCAATTTTAATATTGGTCATAAAATTTGTCAGAAGAATGGAAGAAATACTCTAAAACAGATCCACATTATAGTCAGACCCCTTCCCCAGGAATTCAGGCAAGGAATGTTAACCCAAAGATTTATTTTTCTGTTCAGGTCATGCCTGGGGTAGACTGCTGTGTTACTAAATTCCCTAATCTGAAGTCAAGAGCAAGACAAAGTTAACAGACCTCAACAGGCAAAAAAAATCTCAAGATAGCCCTCCATGGACCATGACCTGAAGTTACAGCAATAAGTATTATCCCCACCATGAAGATGACTTAGAAAAAGGCCCAGCTTACCTCAACATAGTCCCTGGCATGACCCCAGTCTCTCTTAGCATCCAGATTGCCCAGGCTGAAACAGTCCAGCTGTCCGAGGTGAATCTTTGCTACCGATCGGCTAATTTTTCGAGTGACAAAGTTAGCCCCTGAAATAGAAGTAAAAGGTAGTATAAGCATAGTCACAGTGGCAGATAACTGGCCACCACAAACACCTCATATACTCAGTACGTGGTCCTCTCAGTCTTCATTCACTCTCCTTACATCACCTAGACTCATGCCATCTTTCATCGTTTGAGCAGGTTAAGAAGCTTCCAGTGCAAGTGTCACATTAACCGCAGTTTCACAGCAAACATCTTCCTTTGTGGGACTTCTTAAGCATTCCTAATTTGCTGCCTCAGTATTCACTCTAGGCATAAAGCCAAAGAAAACCATTTGGAATGTCAGTTCTTAAACACAAAATGCAAAAGGTTACATAAAGAAGACAGACATCTTAGACCACCCTCAAGTTTTTTGTTGCCATTTCTGTTTTTCTTTTTAAGTTTTTTAAAAGAATGCATATCTCTAAATAAATCTGTTTATTAATAAAAAAATGGAGACTATGCACATACTACGTATTCTCCAAAGCACTGGTTAATGGTTAAATGCATTCCACTTTTCTAGTTATTTATGATTCTTTGTCCACCAGGTTCAGATAGGTCATGAAATTGTGATTTCAACTTTCTCAGTTGAAGACTGTATGTTATTTTATCGTATTTCAGTATTTGGTTCACAGTATTACTTTAGAAAATTTGTGTACCTATTTCTTCTCCAGGTAGAGTTGCTTTAAATAATATTTGTTGTTACTTACTTTTGTTACTTAATTTTTAGGTTATGATGGCTACGTTTTTAAAAGGTGCTCACAGTCTCCTCAAAAACAGAGGGATTTGAATTTAGACCATGAGTTTAGGCTAAACAAGTCCAATGGCATTTGCACACTAATAAGCCACAAAAATTAAAATTACATGCCTTTTTAATAGCTAAAAAAATATGATAAAGTGGTGACAGATGATACTTAATCCAAATGAAAAACAGGAAAGGTAGTGAAAATGACTGCACTTGTAAAATGCTCTTAGCAAATTTCAGAAGTCCTAAGTAGTGCATAGATATAGTTTTTTTTCATTATGGAACTCTGCTGTTGAGATATGCATCTCAATATATTCTGTTTCCTGTCAAACAAACGGTAGGCTCCTGTAACATTATTAAAGAATGGGAAGTGTCTTTTTCAGACTACTGATTTTTCCTGTAAAGTCAGGAGCACTACAGTACTTTTTTTGCGTCATTTGACTCTCCCAAAAGTAAAAAAACAAAAGAGCACAGCTCTAAGAACCATGTGGAATGAAGCACTTAAATAATTTAGATCTTACCACAGAATTAAGAGAGAATTTTAATCTTTACATCAACTGCTGAACTAATTGGAATTCTGGTTATTAGCCATTTAGGACATATCATCAGTTTGTGCCTGTTTTTTAAAGGATGAAAATCATATAATTTCCATATCCCCTGAAAATGTGTTCATATATAAAGGAAGCTTCCTAAACAGCATGATTTGCAAACTTTCAGAAACAAAATATACTCCAGAGTCTTTTTTAAAGCAAAGTTTCTCAAAAATTGGACAGGACCAACACCAACCAACTCTGCTATTGCAACTTCTGAAAGCAAAGTACTGTAGTTCTCCTATTCCTGGCTGGACAGACTTGCAGCAGGAGTGGAGGTCTGTCTTAACAGAAACCAGTGACAGTGTCTTTGGCTTAGTCAGACTGGCATCTCTCCAAAGATTGTTTCAATTTTTACCTTATCAAAGTGATTTGAGACCTTCACACAGATTACTGCTAATAAAGTAAAAACAGATTCAAACTATTACAAAAACTTATTAGGATTAGCTCTGAAACTTCCTAACCTTCTCCACAGAAATAATTTCAGTTAGCATTATTATTCAGCAAATAACAATTGAAGGAACAGCTCTTTTTCTAGGATAAAGCATATGGCTTTATGTTCCAGACTGCAAATGAGTAATAAGCAATGCTTTCAACACTACATTCCCATTCACAGCAAAAGCAATGAGAGTTCTAGTCACCATCTGCATTAAAGCAAGTTTTACTGTCAACCTACATGACTAACGAATGTCAATTTCCATCTTGGAGCAACCACTTCCTCAGCATGAAAAGAAAAAAAAAAAAGCATATTAGGTTGTGTGAGAGAGAGAACTTTTATGTTATCAACTTAACTTTAAATATATGAAAGATACCGCATGAGAAAAAGCTGATTTGTCTAGCACAACACAGCAAATACTAATAACTGCTGTCTTCTTGCAGAGTCACTGTTAACTGGAGAGAAACGATCTTTGAGATATTCTCCAAGCAAAATCATAATATTCCTCAAAAGGCTGAAGTGAAGAACTAGAGAGCACCACAATGAAAAACGAAAACCTTTATTTTCCACAAATATTCCCATAAGGGTTCCACAGAATAATACCAACTCTCTTCTTGGAAGTGCCTTAGCATTAAAGCTGTGGAAGAAAACTACTACAGAATGCTACTGTTCGTTCTAAGACATGTGATTAGAATTTTTTTCATTCACCCAAGGACTGAATGGCACATTTCAGAAGCACTTAAATGATATAGTTCATAAATAATGCTTAAATACGGATTTTCTTCAAACACAGTATCTTAAAATATCCTAATTACGCTATGTTTGATCCCATGCCATTAAATGCACATCACAACTGGAATTTAAGCTGGTGCCTGCTGGAGTCATACAAAATAGTTAAGGCTATGTCAGCATTTCCATTAAAAAGCCCTGTCCTAGGGGTTTGCAATCGGGCTATAAAATCTTGCTTTGGCCTGAAATTTGGCAGACGTAATGTCTCTTTCCTCAGGATTGATTCTATCTAAAACGTCTAGGTGGAGTGCTACAGACATCTTTATATAACTGAATGCAAAGTACCTTTTGAGGCACAGAAATGGTTAGCTTCCTTCTTCCTCAGGAGATAGTGAGGACTTGCTAATGTTGAACCTATAAGAGCATTTTTCTCCATCAAAAGGCCAGCCAATGCCAGAAAGAGTATCAACAAAGTTGCTGATGTGTTAACCACTTCACCCTTTATATTGATTTTCATCAGATCAAGATGATGCAGCAGTTAAAATGCCACTGGTTATCACAGCTGAATAAGGCCTAATTTACTATACTAACCTTACTAATTCACCTGGAATTGAGTTGGTTGTAGCAACAGAAACTTACTTGGATTGGTGGGGAAGAGAGATGTCAGAGTCCCCACATTTGTGTCTGGCTCTACACTGCTTCCTCAGATCAGAAAGGTTTTGTAAAACACACCTCATTGCTCACACCTAGTATGAATGAACGTGGAGTGTTCAAAACCCTTAAATGGTTGATGTATTTTGACTTTTTTGAACACTTTTTCAAAATGTGTGAGGGCAGCATTGGTCTGGGAGCTCACTATCCCACAGTAATCAAGAGAAGAGTCATTCAAGGGCCAAGCACGAGGGGCTAACCACCTTGCATAGCTATCTGTGCAGCAAATACATGCAAACCATGATGGGCCACATTATGCTCTGGTTTGCACTGCTATTGGCAGCACTGGAATTGCTGCACCGCAGCAGAAGTGAAGTGGCCAGATGGAGCAAAGGGTGCTTTGGTGTGTCAGCACATTACAGTGATTGCAAACAGCCCTACTAGAGCAGTGTCTGACAAGTTTTTACATTTTAAAAGAGGCCTTAAACATGAGTTTTCGTGATATTAACAGCTCTTTCAGGAACCCTGGCCATTAGCTCAGATTTGTTTTCAAAACTCAAGCCCTCCCTTTGAGATCATTAGCATTCCAATAGGAACTGTAAGGTCTGATTTACAAACCTGACTTTTCCTAGACAGGATTTAAAGCAAGGATTCCTCATCAAGCAGACCTGATCTGTAAAACATATAAGTTGTCAGCATACCACTACAGGAACATTACTACAATAAAAAAGGAATAGCAGAGGTATAATGCAATAGCTTTGGCTCTCCAGCCCAGGCCTGTCACCTGTTGCACTGCCTGGCTCAGGGTGGGAAACAGCTCATCCCTTCGAGAAGGATGCTGCCTACATCTGGTAAAGATGTAGTTTTGAAAGCTGCACACATCTCTTGTCTAAAACTATTGCTTTAGGGGCACAGTCTAAATGCACCTACAGTTCCAAAGCTGGATGCCCCAAAAACCAAAATCTTGGTCTATGCATCAGTACCCCATTTCTTTTACCAGCACTGGGGTTTCACCTTTTGTGTATCATCAGGAAACTGGCTGTTTGAAGTAGATGTTTTTCTCTGGAATCTGTTGTTTAGAAGAGATAGCCAAATGAATGAAGAAGCTTTAAGAGCCACTACTGTAGTGTCTGTTTGATTTCAAGAACCCTCATTTTCCAGGCTCTCAAGACTACATACAAAACCCAACTAATGTCAAAATTGTGGTCTTAGGAAGACCGTAAAACACCAGTTGTTTCATGCATAAGAAAACCCATCATTAATCCTAGTAATATTATAGAATTAGGTTGAAAAGGCTTCCATCAGTACAATATCGAATGTAGATAACGTCCTGATCCTCGAGGTCTGTCATGGCCCTTTGGAGCATCATGCTGAAAAAGACTGTGAATAGGGTTGGTGCGAGAACACAGCCTTGTTTCACACCATTAGCTATTAGAACTAATATATATCGCTGCTGATGCCTTTGACAAAGCACACAGGATCACTCCTGAGGAGAAAAGACAATGCAAAAAGAATCATGTCTTGCAGAATATACCACCTAAGGAGTCTTTCTGCTGTGCCTTTTGCAACCGGACGTGCCTGTCTCATATTGGCCTTTTTAGCCACCAGAGCACTTGTAACAAACGTGGGTAGAGCCCTCCCCAAATCTTCGTTCACAAAGCCCAGCCATGATAATAGAATTACAATCAATCTGAGAGAATTTAATAGCAGTACTTATCTATCAACTGAGACACAGTCCTAGCACAGTCCATCAAGTTGCCATAACACTTTTTTCTTCATTTTATATAAAATACAATAAAAAGGTTTCTGTCTCTGAAGATGCTGACACAGGAAAAAGGTTGTAGTTTTTTTTTCCTTC